AAATAAAATATTAAAATATGTTCATATACAATAATACAGCCTGTTTTGGTAGTGTTCTAATGATAAAATTTAGCAATTTTATGTGGCTTAAGAGTAAATAGGAGCTACATCTATAATAATAAAAGCATAATATGCAAATCCACCTAAAGGCCCAACAGCGGAATAACCGTCTAGAGGACCTTCCGGACAACCTTCCAGATGAAGCCAGAGCTGTGAGGGCCTAGGTAGCTGGGGCTGCCAGGGCCTACCTTTGCATGAATTTTGTACATTGGGACTTTAATTTTTATTATAAAGCATGTTTCCTTAATTTAAACTCTGTAATGCAAGATTCCCATTACTTCCTATTGTTTTAATTTACTAATTACAATATTTTGGGGACTATATATTCAGAAAATAATATTAAAAACTCAGTTATAATTCAAACTAAGCACATACAGAAACTTAAATTTTAATATTATTATTGCACTAGTAGCCCAGTGCACGAAATTTGTGCACATTAAAAGGGAATTAATTGCCCTAACCGGTTTGACACAGTGGATAGAGCATGCGCCTGCGGACTGAAGGTTCCCAGGTTCAATTCTGGTCAAGGGCATGTACCTTGGTTGTGGGCACATCCCCAGTGGAGAGTGTGCAGGAGGCAGCTGATCGATGCTTCTCTCTCATCCATGTTTCTAACTCTCTATCCCACTCCCTTCCTCTCTGTAAAAAATCAATAATATATATATATTTTTAAAAGGGAATCAATTAGCAGAAATATTTAAATATTGCTATTTGCCCTTTCTCTATAATAGAAGTGTGAGAGATGAAAGGAAATTAGTAAAATGTATATGAACATAATATGTAAATTTATTAATAAATAAACAGTAACAAAAGGTTATAACAACAACAGAGGCATGATATAAAAATGACAAAAACATGATATAAAAACGACAGTGATGCAAACAATGACTGATAAAGTGATTAAACTTATTCTAATATCTCCCTGTACACCACATTAAGAGTGAAAACACTTTCAGAGTGCTTGACTAATTTCCCTTGTGATGAAGTACTTAGAACTTTAACTGTAACGTTACATACTCTTCAAACTCGAGAGAAAGCAACATATAACTGACCATGTGCAAAAACGGGTTCAGGTAGGAATATGCCTACTTTGTCTAGAGTTTGTCCTTGTGATTTATTAACAGTCATCACAAATGCTGGCATCACGGGAAACCATCGTCAAATCAATTTAAATGGGAGGCCAGTGTCAGACGGGGACAAATTAATTCTTGGAATCAGAACAACCTCTCCCTCTGCAGATCCTGTTAATACGTCAGCTTCGATAATGTTAGGTCGTAATCTCTTGATAATAAATCTGGTACCATTACAAAGACCCCACTTACTATTGAGATTTCTCAATAGCATGATGATTGCACCCACTTTCAATTTTAATTTATGACACGACATTCCCGAAGGAGTAATACTATTAAGAAATTCGATGGGAAAATTTTCATTTTAGCATCATCTGCGGAATCAATGGAATCATCACTCAAATATGTGTGAAAATCTCCATCAAGTATATCCAAATTTTCTTCATTTAATTTTTGAACATGCTCATTTTTTGGACAAAGAATTGCACGCTTAGATATATTTTTAATATTTTCTATAGCAGTGGTTCTCAAACTTGGCTGCACATTACAATCACCTGGGAATCTTGTTAAAATCCTGATTCCTGGGCCTCATTCTCTGGAAATTGTTTCTTTGTTATGGGGTGGGGCCACAACATTAGTAACAAAGAAACAGAATTAAATCTTTATTGTGGGGAGCCGCTACAGTGTTTTGGACAGGTTCAAGCCTTGGACTGATGAGAGGGCACAGTCCTCTCATTGCCACATGCAAGTCCCAGCTTGGAGGGCAGGGCCCTCGCAGCACAATTATAGCCAACAGCTGCAGTTGTAAGCTTGAACCTATGGTCCAAACACGTGGCCCCATGTACCTGAGTGATGTGGGCTTGATAGAATTCAGGTGCATGTAGTTGAGTAGGATTGAAACCCAGGAGAATGTTGTAAACATCTTGGTCACACCCTTACTTTGCCTCGTAGCATCTGCTATAAAATAAAGGCATGGCTGCGGGCATGGTCGCTGTCTCTCAGAGAAGCAGTGTCCCACCAACACCCAGCTTTCATTCTCTTGTCTGTCTTTTCTAAGCCTTTCAGCCACCCTCATTCAGGTTCACCCCTGGCCATGCTGGCACATGGCACACTTTAGAAAGATCTGCCTCCATGCTCTGAGGGTGGGTTCCTGACTCAAACCCGGCCCTTATAGGAAGCAGCTCAGGGAAACAGCTTGGGGGAGGGTGCAGCCATTTCCAAGACAACCCCTGCAGGACTGACTTCCTTCCACTTGGTTGCAGTGGTTCTTCTGGACGTGATGAACACCACCCATGGTTTTTATATAAGTAGATTAATGCAAGTAAAATTATCTGAACTATTATTTTGTTTTAGTTTTTTAATTAATAAATTAAGTTTCAGAATACTTAATAACCTGAAAACAATTTTCTCAGTGGAAACATATTTAACTTGTGAGCTGTATTCATTCTGTGTATTAGTAAAATTACATTTTTAGTGACACATTGATGATATAGATAGTCATTCATAACATAACATTTGGTTGTATTAATAAATTTCACTTCTGTCATAGTGATTCAAAGCAACTGTAATATTTCAAAGGACTAGGACTGTGCTCACCTTCATCTTGCAAAAATCCTGAACAGTGTAAATGCTTTAACAATATCAAATGATAAATCTTTAAACTTTAAGAAGCAGCTTGAAATTTAAGTATACATTTAGAGATGGACTTTATGAAAAATACTTTGTAACTATAATGGATGTATTTATTAATTTCTGTGCCAGAATATATTATTACCTTACAGGGCAGAAAAGATTCCTCATTTTTTTTTAAATATATTTTTATTGATTTTTTACAGAGAGGAAGGGAGAGAGATAGAGAGTTAGAAACATCGATGAGCTCTCTCATCAATCAGCTGCCTCCAGCACATCTCCTACTGGGGATGTGCCCGCAATCCAGGTACATGCCCTTGACCGGAATCGAACCTGGGACCTTTCAGTACGCAGGCCGATGCTCTATCCACTGAGCCAAACCGGTTTTGGCCATTTTTTTTCTTTTTACCATGTTTCACATGATGAGTTTAAATGCCTCTTACAGTCAGTCTTGAAAATTTTATACAGAATCTGTTTATTATCCTGAATTTTAATGAAAAAATGATCAATATTTGACTTTAGAGGATTATAAACCAATTTTCATTTTTTAGTTTGGGAGCTAAAAATCCCCTGGGATAAGTTTTTTAAAGATGTTCTTTTTATCAGGTTTATTGTTGTCATGTCACTTCTTTTGTTTCTTTTATTTGTACCTCTTTACCATTAGAAATAAGTCTAGACCCATCACATTCAATTTTTTTCTGACCTTTACAGTTATCAAATTAGAAAGGATTTGATAGCTAAGGTCTAGACTACATTGAAATTGCAGTCTTCAAAATGAAAGCAAGCACTTCATTGTTTCTCTGCATAAAGCAGCCTTTTTTTTCACTCAAGTATGTTTGAAAACTCTACATTTAAATATTACACCAGTTGATTATATATTATAATAATAAATTAGACTTTTTGTGTGTATGCATGTGCTCACAGTAGTTATTGAAATAGAATGGTTATTTAGGGGTGGGGGTTGTGAAATTTATTTAGATGATCAATCCTACCTGAAGTGACTTGTGAAAGCACTGTTTTGATACTTCCTTGTATATTACCATTAAATTACATTGCTTATAGAGGGTGTCCCCCCAAAATATATACATATTTTAACAGCTGTTAGTTCAATTTTGAAAATGAAATGTATTTGAATAAATTCTTCCTTTATAATTATTCAAAGCGTGTGTATACAGTTTTTGGGCAACCCTATAGATAAAACACTTTATGATGAAACATAAATGTATGGTATGTGTCAAGAACACTTAAAATATTTTACAATGCTCTCTCATTCATCCTCATCATTGCATAGGAACATTACTTTCCCCTTCACTTTTCTATATCTGACCTATTCATTCTCTCTAAACATTTAATATGTCTTTAATTTCATAGTATTTTAATTTTATTCAAAAACATTTTAACACAAGTTCACAATGTTTATTTTTAAAGTTTTTATCTATCTATCTATCTATATATATATTGCTGGCCTTATATTTTACAAAGAATAAATCTGAGAGACTTTTGGCCAGATCAGCACATTTTGAAGTTTTTATAAACATATAATTGTTTTGTTTAAAAATAGAGTTTTGTTATTGGTCCGAGGTCAAGTATAATCTCAGTGTTTTGAAAGAAGTCACTTAATGCAATGCCTAAACTTATTTATGTGGAAAATAATGATAATAATCTCCAATTTCCCGTATTCTAATTGTAAAAATAAATGAAACTGTAGTTGTGAAAATAGCTATATTATAGAAAAAGTATCTAAACCAAGATAAGAATTCTTCTTTTGGGCCATCCTCATGTTAGTCTGTTGATTATTTTATTTTTTTCCCATTACTTTTTTCCACATCAGATTTGCAGAGAGAGAAACCTAAGTAAAAAATATTCCTCCTCTAATACCACATTTCTTGTAGGAGGTTCCAAGAGAGAAACTGAAATTTCAATGTAGGGCTATACTTTGCTAACATAGAAAATGAAGCTAAAAATCTGCCAAGTTTTTGCAAAATGCAACAATACAGTAGCTTTAGGTTAAGGACCAATCATTGCTTCCCAAGAAGCCAGCATATAGCATAGGCTTGTTTTGATTTTAGAAAAAAATATCACAGCAAGCAGATTTCCTGGGCTATTGGTTTTCTACCTAATCTATCTCAGCCATTACATTCTTTGCAAAATGAAGTTGAAAATATATTGAAATATATTATAATTTACATTTGTTTACTTATATTATATAATGTGTTTAACTTTATTAAACTCTCTTTTTAGCTTTCATTCCTGGACTAAAGAAAGGTATAGTAGAAATCACCACAAACCATAACCATGGTGCATGTTTCATTTTAAAGTGTATTGTGTATCTGTTCATTTTAAGAACTTTTGGCCTTTTCACTTCTCATAAAACATTTTAATTTCAACTGTTTGCTTCAAACACATTTTATTATGTTTAAATGAACTGATATCTAGGAAAATATTTAGTTGGTTGTGTATCTTATATATTTCAATGCTTTTCTAAAGTTATGTGTAATTAATATTTATAAAGCAAAATTATCATGACACTATAGTCAGTCATTTTCTTATTTACAGTGGTTACTTTCAAATTATCTACAGATTTAATTATTCATTTTTCCTCTGACACAGTAAGCATATTCAGCATTTTGTCTGAGGAGACATTAAAGATATAATCTACTTTTATATATTTTTACCCAAATTCTATCTGTAAATTGTACATGCTGTATACATGCCTAACAAAATGACCCAAGTTTATATTCTTTGTGAATTTATAAATAATATGCATTTTCTTTGCCAAATTATAAAGTATATATTACCTGTGAATATATGCTAAATTATGGTTGATAGAAAATAAGTTTATTTAAATATGATGTTTAAACAGTTAAAATGTATATAATTTTATTGTGCTGATAAAGTTAGAAAAATGATGCAGGATATTTTGTATATTTGCACTCATTGTGAATTATGTACCCATTTATTTATCATTTACTTTATATTTGGGGATGGATCTGTCATATTGTTCCATTGCTATTTCTATTTTGCTTCATATACTTATTTTGAATGTAGTTTATAGTCCATTAATATTTTGACCAAGTAGAAGTAGTACTCAAAGAATAAAATCTTCCTGAAATTAATCATAAAAATCTAAATTATTATGTAAAGAACCTCACTTTCAATCTTTTATTTTGACACCTCATCCATACTAACAGCATGCTTTATTATTTTGGTATTTTAAATGTTTGTAAAATGTTGTTTGGGTCTTTTATATTATGTTGGAGTAGCTCTATTGAGATCTTATATAATTAGTTCTAATGTCCATTGTAAATGGAATTTCAAGCTAAATATCTTATTCTCCTTGAAAGTTTTGAGTATTCAATGTTTATATGGGTAAGTCAGGTGGAAGGGAATACATTGCATGTGTTTTTCTTTTTGTCCTTTCCCTTCTCATCAGTTTTTAGGTGCCCCCTGATAGATACTGCTCGGGAACCATAGCTATTTCAAGTCATGGGGACGTGTTTGTAGCTGTAATACAAAGTCAAGGTGTTTTGATCATAACTATTCACAGGAATAGTGGAAAGAGCATTTAAATTTGTGTCAGGACATATTGAATTCTAATGACAGTTCTCCACCTGACTAGATGTATACACTTGGCCAAGTCATTTTACTCTGATTCTCCATTTTCCCTCCTCATTTAAAAAATTGTAGTAGCCATATTTATATTTAAGCCTCACAAAGAAATCATGCTGCTGAAATGTAAAAATATAACAATAACAAACAAAAATCCAACAACAGTTGTTGAGTGTGTACTATGTTCTAAATACTTTACCTAATAATATACAAGTTTCTATTTTTATACTTACAACACTTTTATTTGGAGGTTTTATTATTTTCTCCATTTTTTCAGATATGGAAACTGAAGCAAATAAAGATTAAACAATATAGGGATTCATTTGACCATTTCTAAAGCACTATACCTGTGTAAGCATTAATATTACTTAGATTTTGAACATTATTCAGTACACCAATGAGTAATGATCATTATAATTAAAACCACACTTTAAATTTTACTCTAATTTACTTAGTATATTCATAACATAGTTGGGCTTTGTCTTGAGGCTGCACTGAAACACCATAATAACTTTTATGATTATAGTGTATGATAAATTTCATACCATATTTTGTATAACCACTTTCCATTATCAATTCATTTCAGTAGACTTGCTATTATTTATCTCAAATAATATAATTTCTTAGGCATATTTCATATTATTAAATGTTAGTACATAAGAGAAAAAAAGCCTTCTGTGACCCTAATCAGAAATTTATGAAACAAAGTTTATTTCATTCATTTAAACTTTTTAATTGAAGGCTAACTGATTACTTGGAATGACATTATTTTCTTTAGTATAAAAAAGGAGGTTCTTTCTTTTATAATAAATTAGATATGTAAATGCAAGTTCTTAGTAGTAAGAGAATTGCCTCTACTTCAAGGGATGCTTTAGTGATCCCTAGAGAAGAAACTGCAAGTACAGGGTGGAACAAAAGTAAGTTTACAATTGTTCGTATGGAAACTAATACAATAATTAATACATAATAATATAAAAATGAACTCTGTTTCATGTATTCACAAATGCAAATTTACTTTTGCCCCACCCTGCATATACTTATCAATTATTTTGTACCTCCTCCTAAGGAAAATATTCATTAATAAACATTTATAAAGTAAAAACTTTCATTGAATTTGTTTGCAAGTGCTCTTTCCTTCTTTTGGAACATGCTTTAGAATAAGAGTGAGAGTTTCAGCTATTGCATTTTCTATTGTAATTGAGGTCTAGGATTTGAGCATTAGAATGTTAAGCTGTGTGTCTCTCAGCTGTCATTTGTCTGTTGTCCATAGCAAAGCTCAATTACACAAGCTGATTTTTGTCATATTCTTATAGTGTTTTATTAGACAACCCTTAATCTTCTGGCCCTCAGATAACTCTCAAAGATCTGTTCTTGAACTAGGTCTTAGTATTTACTGTTTCTATTCAAAGGCCATCTGTAATCTACGAGTTCATTACTTTAGAATTGAATTGTTGAATTTTGATTAAGGCAAAACTGTTGAGGGCTGAGAATGTGGAGGGAAAGCAAGTTGAGTTGGAAGGTTTTAGGAGAGACTGGCAAAACAAATTATCTCCCAGTCAAATGAGTCTCTTTACCTATCTTCATTTGACTACTTAGTTAATAGGAATTTGTGAACATAAAATATAATTAATCCTTATGCATGATATTTATGAAGTTTTTCATACATCGATTAATAAGAAAATGAATGCTTTATCTCAAAGTATTTTTCCCATGGTCAGGAGTTAATGAAAATGCATGAGTAAGTTTTCAAATGACAGATTTATAGCACAGATCATAATATTAATCTCTTTATGTTAATTTAATGTCACTAAGTTCCCTGACCACAGAACTGAATCAACATGCAGTTTTGTTTTAGACTATTAATAGTAGACTCTAAAATGTCATAGAACAATATTTGTGAAAAAATTTAAGTCTTTTGAATCATTTGGATATTTTAACATCTAAAAATTCCTTCTTTAGATAACACAACATAAGTTCATTCCACCATATTCATTATATATCATACATTGATACATGAAGCTAGAAAAAAATATGCTTTGTTATGAAACTGTATGCTTTTTAATGTTATTTTCATAATTTAAAGAAAGGAACAAATGTGATATTATTTATCACAGAAAAGTAGACTAGGTTGAAAATTAGTATCTTTTTTAGGCTATACAGTCTTATTAAAGTTAGAAAATGAGTGTGGTACTATGCTTGTCATTCTGATAAAAACTTTGCATAGTTTTGAAACAGAATGCAATCTATTAATAGAAAATGCATTCTTTAATCTGTATGTTCTGGGTTTATACTGTTTGTCTTTTTAAAATCCATGTAGGTTAAATACATGTCTTTGCTAAGTGACATATTAGCTGCTTCTTGACAAAACACACCTCAAACTTAGCCATAAACATTAAGAAGTTTCTAAATACTCATTTCTGCTACAGCTAATTAGAATAGTAATCTTCATTTCATAAAGCATAATTTTAATATGTGTCACTTTTCTCCAGATTGTCTGAAGTTGATTCTATTTGACAAGGAAAAAGATAAAATATTAAATTTCTTTACTTACAGTTGCAGATGTCACATCAAAAGTTAGTTCTATTATGAGGGGGAGGGGGAGATTTTTGGTTGAAATATACTTTACAAATAGGAATTTTTTTTCTAGAATACACACAAAAATCGATTATTGAAAAGGCAACTTTTTTTTTAGGTAAAATGTCAATCTAAGAATATAGCCCAGGAGTCTTGAATTTCAAGTGGTTTATTATCATTGATTTTGATCTGCACTGTCAAAGGAAAGTATAATGAGATACATATTTATAATTTTAAATTGTATAATTGGTACACATTTTAAAAAGTAAAAACAAACAGGTGAAATTAATTTTGGTTATATATTTATTTAACCCAATATACCCAAAATATAATTATTCCTCCATGTAATCAATATAAAAATTTTTAATGAGATATTTTACATTTCTTTCTATAGCAAGACTTGCAATTGGTATGCATTTTACACATACAGCACATCTTAAGCTCAACTAGCCTCATTTCAAGTGTTCAATAGCTATGTGTAGGTAGTGGCTAATATATCAGCACAGCTTTAGATCCTTCTCTAATACCAAGAATTAATTGTTGGGTTTGGGCTGCAGAGGAACAAAGGGCCTTGGTATACATTTGTTTGATATTATACCTTGAAGAAAAATAAACAAACAAGCAAAAGCCCTTGAAGCCCTTGATTTTATGCTTGCTCATCTGAGAATATTTTCCCCCTGGCTGGACAAAGTTCAAAGAAAAAAGAAAAACATGTGGGAAAAAATACTCGATTTTTACTGCCATGAGCAATGAAAGACAAAAAAAGTCAAATGTAAAGCAGCAAAGGATTGTATAGATCAAAGTCAACACTTTTAATTACAAATTTTGTGTAATATGTTTGAGGCTCTTAAGAACCACAATTTCTTACAGTTTGATTCTTGAAACTCCTGAGAAGTTTGCAAGAGGAGCCTTTAGTATAGAATACTGGTTGGCACTAGTTAATCTGGAAGCTACACAGGCATGGGTGATTTTTAAAAATATATGTTTTTATTGATTTCAGAGAGGAAGGGAGAGGGAGAGAGAGATAGAAACATCAATGATGTGAGAGAATCATTGATCAGCTGCCTCCTGCACACCCCCTA